TTTTTTTTTTTTAATATATATATATATATAAACTTATATGTTCATATACTTCAAACGCACATCTGCATAGGTGTTTATGTGTGGTGGTGCTCGTAATTTGATGGTTCAGACCCCGGTGTGCGCAGTCTACACACCATGTATAGTCTGAATCTTCATCAATTTCTAATCCTGAACTTCTCAAGATTCCTAAATTAGTGTGGCTTTCAGTTATTGGTTCCTCCAAATTTGTGTTAACTGTTGCTTTTGTGATGAATGTACCACGTTTTCTTGTTAGAACAGAGCTGTATGTCAAGGAAGGTCATGCTGTTTGGCATTTGGTACTGCAATCAGCTGCAAATTGGTCAAGTCAAAAGCCTTGAGAAAATGAATAATTTCAATCCAACCTCCCCCGAAATGGTATTTATCACACGGTGGAAGGATACAACTGGTTTCAATCACGGGCTTATCCAATCATGTGGGGTACAATAACATGGATAGGAGTTCTTTTTTTCTTTTATTTTTTTTTTCCTTTCCGAAACGATAGAATATGATTAATAAATACAAATTTTTACAGACTAATACAATCAATCAAATAACTGAATCAATCAGCTACTAAGCCGAAACTAGCGGAGGACTACCCCGAAAGAGTATACTACTCCCAGTCATCTTAGAGCCGCAAACCCAAACTAACACACAGAAATAGAACTCCCACCAGTGAAGAATAAAAGCTCTCAAATAGGAGAATAACACACTCCAACAAAAGAGAATAACACACACACACACACTACAAAACAAAATAAACACACACCTAAACAAGCATAAGAATACTACCTCCCCTACATCTCACCGAAACACCGCTACAACCACACTGACCAGTTCACGAGCCAAACTCCACAATCAACAACAAAAGAGAATTGCAGATCAAAGCCCCAAACTAAAAAGTCCAACTTACTCAAGTGATTAGTCAGAGGAGACAAATCTCAGCCGAGATCTGAGTTCTCGTAGTCTTCAATTGTGAGGTAAAAGGACGCCTTGGGAGTTGATCTAAAAAGCCTCGTTGGAGGAGCCGACGCTTTCACCAAATGGGGGATTCAGCGAACCCAAATTTGACGAGTGGAAGGCAAGACGGACACCATCAGCTCGACTCGAGGCTGGATGCCGGCCAGGGTCAGCTCTAGGGGGAGGCACCATAGGCCATGCCTAGGGCCTCCAATTATTAGGGAGCTCAATTTTTTATAGTGTTTATGTATATGTATTATATATATATATATATACACAAATATAGGGACTAATGACTAAATATGAACTCGGACCATTACACAAATAAAGAGACTAATTAATGAAAGGACTAGTACTAAAATATGTATTTGTGTACAAGTTTGAGGTCTTAAATATTTTATTTGTTTTCTTATGATGTTCGGTCAGAACAAGTTGCGTGAGAATAAATATTATTTATTTGTAATATGATTTTTATTTTCTCCTCATTGTTGTCTACGTGACTGCTTGATTGCAATTTCGAATTTATTAAAAGTAATTTTATCAAGGTCTAGAAAAGCAAGAAAAATCGTTTTTTAATTAATTATTTATTTATTTAATAGTATTGTTTAATTAATTTTTTTCTTGTATAATTCTATCTACAAATAGCTATACCACGAAAGTTCAAATCAAAAAATTCAAAAAAGTAAAAATTTTGTAGAGCCTCTAAATTTCTGGAGACAACCTGAATCCGGCGACGGTGGCCAGGCGAGAAGAGTGAAAAGAGTTTTTAGAGAGAGGGTGATGTAGAGCGTAGTATGAATAGGGAAGAACACAAACAATTCTTACGAGAAATCTCAATTTTTATTCATCAAAGTCTGTCCCCCAAAAGAGAGAAGACGATCGTTTTAATACATCATATAATACCCTAATCTTAAAAGGCCACTATAACCGAAAAGGCCCAACACTAATAATAATAATAATAATAAGAGCCCAACAATAAATAAAGACAACTAAAGAGAAATGAACTAGCTAGATACGAAGACAGTCATATTTATTTAAAAACGCTATCGTAGTCTCGTCTCCATCATCCTCTCCCGGTTTGGAAGGATTCGGCCGCGAATCCGAACCGGTCTCGTCTCCGTCAGAATTATCGCCCGCGAACGGCACCAAATGCTTGACGTTAAACTCGTCAGAAGTGCGAATGTGAGAAGGAAGTCGAAGACGGTAGGCATTGGGGTTTATCTTCTCGACAACCTCGACCGGGCCAATCTTACGAGCCGACAATTTATTAAACTCGT